ACAGGCTCTGCTGGGAAGTGTGTACTCCCAGGCAGTATCATGGCTATTGTATAAATTGTTTGGTCAAACAATTGCTTGAAAAGCCTAATTATGTTCTTAAGCAGTTTTATTGGTGTCTTCCTCAGTCCCCTTTAACCTTACCGCAGTCAAAGTCAAGATTTTAAAAAGCTGACCTGAGCTGACACCAGCTGAAATGAGAAATGTCTTTCTGGCTTTGTGATAAAGAATTGCCTCCTGCCAAATCTGGTAGCAAAGCAGTGTCCTCCTGTGACTGAACAGCTGAGCATGGGTTGAAGATGGGTTAGACCAAAGCTTTTGTATGTCTGAAAAAGCAAGTGTTGGAGTGATGGAGTCCCCTCATGTCTCCACATTGAGACCTGTGGCCTGGAAAGCCCTGGCTTTGGATCTTTGTCTTGAGGAGAGACTTGATGGAAGCAGGTGTGCAGAGTGGGGTGATACTGCTGCCCTGGTGCCAGTCTGCATGCTTGGGCAGCACCTGGTCAGTAGGCAGAGTGTCCATCCTACCGTTTGCTCTCCTCAGCTGTAAACGGCATCCTGAACACAAGGGACTTCCGTGCTGTGGATCATCGCCTAAAGCTGTACCTGGACATGGAGGTTTTTGAGGAGAACACCGAGGAGTTCCAGTGCTTCCTCAAGGTGAGCTCCCACTGCACCACTCCTACAGCTCCTTGGCTGTCCTCCTTCCCATCCTGTAAGTTCTGCTCTGGGGTGGCATCCCAGAGACTGTGGGGTGTGAAGGCAGCTGAAGTGTGTTTGAGTTTGTCCTTTCCATGGGTGAACGAGCAAGGGACAGACCAGTGCTATGACCCACCCTGTCTGTGCTCTAGGTGGTCATGGTGAAGTTTGGCCGACAAGGAGAGTTCCTCTCAATCCTGGTTGCCTCTGATCTCAAGATTTATGTGCTGGAAGTCACTGGGGCTATCAGGTGAGGAGAATGGTGGCAAGTGAGACCCTGCAGCAAGGCTGCGAGTGCTGGGTAGTGCCAGCCTGTGCTAGCCTTACCCTGGAGGTGTGGTGACATGCAAAGGCTCTTCTGCCAAACCCCCCTGCTGCCATCTGATGTGGGAGAGGAGATGGAGCAGCCTGCTGCAGCTGAGGGCTGTGCTCTGTGATTAGGGGACAACCTGCAGACTGGCTGAAGAAGAATGACTCTCACTACCTGTCTGATATTTCCCATCTGGAAGTGGGACTCCGCCACCAGAGCTTGCGAATGGAGTTTGAGAACCCAAAAGCCTCCTACAATCTGCTGATCCGGAACCAAAGCTGCTGTGACCAGTTCCTGCAGACCCTGACATGTAAGAGTAGAGCTGTAGTGGGAGCGGGGGGGGCGGGGAAGAGAATTTGGAAGAGTTGCTCTTGGAGAGCTACCAGGAGAGCTGCAGTTGGATGTATGCTGGAAATTCACTTGTTGCCAGCTCAGAAAAAAGTTGGGCGAGAACCCCACTGGCATCATAACTTCTAGTGCCTCTCTGTAGACTAGAGAACCACCTTAAGCTGTTATGTACTGCCCTCGGGCTTGCAATAAAAGGTATCTGTGTTCTCCCTCTCTTTAGATCTCATGCAAGAGCTGCCTGCTAAGCATAGGAGTAAGGTGAAGGAAATCCCCACTGTGGAAATGAATCCACAACACTGTCTATGGTAAGAACAGCCTCTGAGAGGTTGAGGGTTCGGATAGAAGAGGATGTTTGCTTGTCCAGCGGTGCCTGGGAAGTGTAGTGCCCAAAACAGGGCAGCACAGGAGGAGGCACCGCTGGAGCGGCAGCCGGGCCTATGTTATAGGTTTAAGGCAGCTGGCTCAGGCGCCTGCTGTGCAGGGGGTGAGCAGGCAGAGGGGTGTCAGGGACTGAGCCAGGCAGGGCAACTCCAGCCCTCCTGGAGGAGCCTCAGCAGAACGCTCAGGAGGGAGGAAAAGAGGGAGGCATAGGGCAGCCTCCTCCCTTGCAAGAAGTATTTGGTTCCTAGCTGGCAAGGTGGTGGGCAGAGTAACAGGAGAGAGGAATTTTGCAAGATCTGGAAGAGATGAGTCCCTCCCTCCCCCAAGGAGGACAGTGAACAGCGGCTAGCTCACAGCAAGCCTAGACTGGAAACGGGGTGCTTCCTTGATCAGCTTGCTGTTGTATCTCCTCCAGGCCTCTGCTGGACTCCAAGACCGCAGATGCTGCCACTGCAGATGACACTTGTTTCTTCTACCTGCTGGCCTACCTGATTCAAGGTATGGGAGATCTCAGTGGCCAGGTGTCCCACACCTTGTGCTGTCTGCTTGTGTTTTTAGTGTACAGTCTGTGGGAAAGAGCTGGGCCATTGGTCTGGCAGCGAGATGGGGTGGGGGCATGGGTGAGGGCTCTTCTTGCTGTTGAGATGTGTAGGATACAAGCATGCTTCTTTGTATATCTCCAGTGAGTCTCCCAGCCCTTTTCTGCATGGAAGTCCAGGCTCTAGAGAGCAGTTGGTCTTGCACACAAGGTTTGGTGACAACTCAGAATGGTTTCTGAGAAGATTGAGATTATCTAAGGGCTGGATTCTTGCCCTGAGCTGAGGGAAAGCTGAGGGGTCATATTCACAGCTGGTTTGTGTGAGGAGCTGAAAGGTTCCTTGGTTTGGGAAAACAGAAGCAGGTGTCTGAGACGGTAGGACAGGAGCAGCCAGCTGGAGGCCATCAGGTTCTGTTCCAGGACTTGCTGAGGGTGAAATGTGCTAAACCTGGGATTTGAGTCTTCAGTGAACAAATACAGTGTTTTCTCATCTTGGGACACTGGAAAAAACAACCTAGCTGTTAATCACATTCTGACCAGTTTTTTACTGTTCTTGCACCCTTATTCACCACTGGCCATTGGGGAGGTATAAGAGAACGAGAATCAGAAGGAATCTGTGGAAAGTATGTTTATTGGTCTCCTCAAGCTGAACAAATACCCTGTGGGAGGGAGAACTTAAAGTGCATTTTTCTTAATCTACCGTTTTCTCCTTTTTTAGAGTATGGTGCCCAAAACTGGATGCAGTTCCAGCTGAGACCTCATTGCCAAGTAGACAGGACTAATTAAACATCCCGTTTCTGATATTCCTACTAATTCCCAAGAGTGAGATGTGACGAGAAAAGCAACATGTTGCTGTAGCAGCTTGTGATCCCCTGTGACCTCAGCCAGTTCTGCTGGTGGTTCCCTATTTCTGTGCATCTGACTTACTCCCAAGTTCTAGTGCTTTTCATTTGCATCCACTGAAATCAGCTGGATATTTATGCTCCCTACAGTTTATCAAAATTACTTTGCTTCCTGCCATACTTAAGATGCATCCCAACTTGGTATTGAACTTTGTGTGCTGACTGTTCCAACCATCAGATATCCACAGCCAGACAAATTCAAGCCAAAAAAGGCGGCCTTTTTTTAGCTGAAGCTGCTGACTTTTAACTAAGGAGTAGTAAAGTGTTGTTTAAGAGGTCAAAGGACTCAAGCGTCTTTTCCTGCCTCACATGAGGCCACGAGCTGGACAAGGCTTGCTGGGTCTTTCCTATGCATGCTCCTGCAATAAGCTTGGATAACCTGGTCAAGCCCAGCCACATTTAGCTTCCCTGCTCCCCCTCTTCAGTCAGGAAGCTGGATGAGGCTGTTCACCCAGTTACTGTTGCTGGAAAGGATCTCCCTAGGGGAGGAACGGAAAGCAAAGCTGGTTCTGTGGTGACTCAGGCTCTCAGCAAAGCCTCTTGTATTCCCTCGTATCCTTTTAGGGGCATCTGCTTTCCCTGTGACCCTGCTGAGCACCCGAAGCATGCTGTTTCTGCTGGAGGAGAATCACCAGTGGCAGGTGCAGTGCTCCTTGGATGAGGACCATGAGGCAGAAATGCCTGCTAGGAGCAACATCCAGTTGAAGGAGAAGCAGCCGATCAGCAGTATTAGCAATGTCATAACCTATCGCCTCTGTCCTTGTGACATCAAGCTGATGCTTTATGATGAGGTAACCAGGAGGTGGACATGGGGCACACAAGATGCTGGGGGCTGGATTGTGCTCAGATCGTGTTCCTACCAAGAGTGTCTTGGGGCTGTTATCTCCCATCCTAATCTAGGGCCTTGCACCATGGAGGCAGGGGAGCACAGCGAATTGCTGCTATACAAAAGTCATGCAGGGACACCACCGCGGTTGGCAGCAGAGAGGGAGAAGGATGTCACTTAGGAACTGGGAGGAGCTGGCAGCTGCGCTGGGCAATAGTGGCTCAGGGCTGATCAGCGCCTTTGAGGCTAGGCCCTGCTCATCAGCCTCCTTCTTCTTCCTCCCTCCCAGGTACTGAAGGTGGAGAGCACTTGGCACATCCGCACAGAGTGCCCTGAGCTCCTGGTAGAGTTGGTGGAGTGGATCCGTGGGCCCTGGGAGGAGATGTTCTCGATCGAGCTACGGAAGGCTGTGTACGAGGGACTGGAGTGAGCTTGCCAGCTGTAGGCTGGTGGGAATTGGAGTCAAGAGTGCTGCTGTGCTGGCAATGGTGCAGAAGTGTCTCCCGCTCCCATCTGACCTTGCTGTCCTGTGGCCTCTGCTTTCTACTCTACTCTTGCCCCTGGCCCTTTTTGGTGAGGAGGAGGGGAGCACACAATGGTCCAGACTGCACAGTCACTCACTTGCACTGGGCTGGCCGTGGAAGGAGGAGGCAAAGTGTCCCCTGTAATACTGCATAAGCTACACCGAGTTCTAAGTTGGCAGTGTCTGCTGGTCTCCTTCAGGGTCACGTGGAGTGTCACTGAAGGAAGAGGGGAGCCCGGCCAGAGCATGTTCAGTGGGACATGCAGTGGTACTAGGCCAACAACAGGCCAGAGGCAGTTGGGTACTGTGATGTTTCTAGCAGGTGTATTTGCTGCCTTCCTAGCTGTCTCAGAACAGCTGCCATTATCTGCTGCTGGGTTGGTTTTGGTGGTTTGTTTTTTGTTGTTTTTTTTTTTCCTTTTCCTCCCCCTCCCTCTTGTCCATGGCTTCCCTAAAGCTGCCTGCTTCAAACAGGAGCCTGATTGCACAAGGGGATGAGGCATGTTGTACTAATAATCCCACAGAGAGCCCTTACCTGCCTGCCTGGCGGGGCATGGCTCGGTCTGCTGCTGTAGTCTTTCACTGTCACTGGGGAGGGAGGAGCTGTGAGGCTCTTAGCACAGCGATGTGTTGCTCGTCGCTTAGGGGTCAGGACCCCTGGTGGGCACTGGCAAGTAAAAGTGAGGCTTAGGCTTTTTCTGAGCAGTCCAAAAGCAAGAGTCTATTTTAACATGAGTTTTACTATTTTCTATTGTAATAAAAGCTTATATTTATTGAATTCTCACACTTTCCTTGTTGCGTCCTCTTGCACTGCCTAATGTCTCTGTAAGATCTTGCATACTAGCTTTGCAGCAGCCTCAAGGGTTCCCAAAGTCATCTCTCAGGGTTCGAGCCATTCTCCCCCTCCTGTTCAGGGTGGGTGCTGATGGGCTGCTAGGCTAATCTTCTCCACCTGTCTGGCTCCCAAGCAGCAGCCAAGGAACAAGACCCAAACAGGATTAGACTGACAGAAGGTACTGGTTGTGTTGTTCTCCTGTGATGCCTCAGGTGAGCATCCTATGGGCTTCCAACCCCAGCAAGTTGTGCAGGCCCGTGGAGGCGTGCCTCACACAGGAGCTGTGGCTGCTGAGGAGGTGGGACTACCTGCCCCAAGATTCTTCCCTGTACCAGGCTTTACCTTGTCTCAACCTCTCCTGCACAGATTTACATGCACCTCAAAAAATGCTGCTGCCTGGCCTGGCCTTGCTGTGTCACAGGGTCTCTGCACTCCGCCCAGTGAAGAGCAAGTGGAGATGCCGTGTGTGGTGTTTTGATGCAGTTAAAGTTCCCTGTGGGGGTGAGCAGAAATGGACCTGTTACGTTAAGATGCTGCCAGGTGGGATCTGATACCCCATGCAGGGACCTTTACTGAAGGTTGCTTTTCCCAGAGCAGTGTCTTTGTCTTGCTATGACTGTTCAACCCATGGTTTCAGGGCAAGTTTTCCGGCTGCTGCTGTATCTTTAGTGACAAAACCTCTATTTTATGTCAAGGTGATCTTGATTTCTTTAAAGACCTGTATTTGTCCTTCAGTGACCTGATGCCTGTTTTCTTTGGGTACTGAGTGCAGCAGCTCTTTGCAACAATCCAGACATCCAGACTTTCCACATACCCAAAGCTGGTGTCGGTGCCTTCAGTTCCTGTCATCTAGAACACAGCAGTGACTGGGTCCTGCAGCATCTCACTGTTCTGGTCTCACCTGGGCAGGTGAGATAGTTTCCCTCCCTGCTCAAACCCGACTATGCCATCCTTGTAGCCTTAGGAGAGTGGGAAGATCAGTTGCCATGCTTTGTAGTGGCCTGAAGGCCACCTCGCAGCGCACTGTTGGACGCTTTCTTGGAATTGCTGTACGATTAGACTTTCTCCTGTCACTTCCAGAAGCAGCCGAGTTGCTGAAGGTCTGCAGTGGCTGATATTTTTATCTAGCCTTCTATAGACTTGATTGACAAGATCTATACTGTCTTGAGGCAGATGTCACAACGCATTTCACTTTCTCCCCTCTTCCTAAATGGGCATATGGCTGCTGCCCTCTGTTCCTTTGGAGCGATCTCAGACCGCAAGCGGGAGTGAGCTCAGTGGAAGCACTGCCAGCACCTAGCACTTTGTCCGGGGGAAGAAGTCTGAGAGAGCTGAGCCGGTAAAGACCAGTAAGGCTTTTCTGTCTTTGTCTTGCCATGTAAGGAGCTTGTGTAAGTGCTATCTTCATCTTTTATAGCTGTGTTTTTCACAAAGGGCAAGAGTCAAAATAGGAGTTATTGGATCAGCTCATTTGATGTATCTTCTGCCTAAGCTGATGCCCTGAGAAAAGCCCATCCTTGGAGCTTGCTTTTTCCATCTTAGCTCAGCTGCACCTTTGCTCTGCCATGCCTGTGTCTGGGTATGCATTTGAGGGACCTCACAAGGTGTGGACTGCCAGAACCAAAGGTTTCAGCGGTGTGCCTGTCTATAGCTCGTCACGGATTTTACTGCAGAAGTGACTACTCATTTGCACCTGCTCCGTGCCACATCTCTGCAGGTCTGTGCCCTCAGCTCAGCAGTAGCCTCTTGGTCCCGTTAACAGCTCCCTGTTCTTCTGCATTCCTCGGGCCACTGACAGGGAAGCTCACATTTGCTGCCACAACCTGCATCCTGCCTCACTTGCTTTGTTTTCCCTTAGGGTTTTGTCCTGCTTGTTATCAGATTAACCCGTTTGTGGTTTATTCGTGGTCGTGAACACTTTGCTGTGGGGCTCCCCACACTAGGCATAGTGGTAGCATTAACTGGTGTCATTGCAAGGGCTTCCCTGACACACTCCTTCGCTCCCATACCGCAGGCAGCCCCGACTGATGACTGTGCAGGAACAGGGTTTGCGTAGGAAAGCCAGGCCTTATGGAAAGGTGTGATATCTGTTGAACCACCCGCAGATGTCTTCTGCCTGTCATAACCCTGAACATGCCATCCCTGAGCTGTGCTCTTAAACACTCTTGATTTTTTTCCCCTTCGTTCCTCTTTCCTTTTCTGGATGCACTCGGCTCCAGTGCTAGCACGGAGCAAGGCTGGTCTGAATCTCAGCATTTCCCTGCCTCTATCTGCCTGGAGCAGGTTCTTCTCGAGGTGTGTGTAGCTGGAGGGATGCCCAGGCCTGGAGTGGCCACAGGGCTCTGGAGACAGGCTGCAGGCAGCCGAGGGCTCTGGCTTCAGCCTGGCCATTGCCATGAGCCTGAAGCTACCACTGCTTTTCTATAGGCACATACCAGCCCTGTCTTACTTTGCTGTTCAACTCATCGATGAAAATGATGCCTCAGCCACGGGTTTGGCTATTTCAGTGCTTCCCACTCTGTGTCTCTGCCTTCTAAAGCAGTAGTCCCTTGAGCATGCGTGGCCTGTGGGCTAGCTGTCAGCCCCCTTGCGCTATGTCTAACTAACGAAGCCTTGTTTCTAATCAGACTGGGTGACTAGAGGGACTGGTCATTTACTTTTAGCAGAATATCCCTGCTGGCCTCATCTCCAGGGGACTGGAGATGTAGCAGCAAAGGGCACACGTTCCCTGCGGCTTGCGGACCTGCCTGGCCAGCTTCATCCCTCCTGCGAGTGCCAATGCTCCGTACCCAACTTAGAGAGCAATGGCCCGGGGCTGTGTAAACCCCTTCCCTTTGGGCTGCCCTCCAGCTTGGCTGGCGGGGGAAGAACAGAGAGCGCAGGCTGCACTTGAGTGCCACATGTGGTACTGGGGTGCCAGCAGAAGTCAGGAACTGGGAAGGAGACCTTAGCAGGAGGGAGGTGAGCAGGGGCAGTCCTATGTGCCCCACACCGTGCTGCATAATCGAGCAGCAGGGAAAAGGGAAAGGGAGCATTATTTTGGAGCCATCTCATCCTTCTCTTGGCTTCTGTTACAGGAGATGGTCATTGCCCTTTGTGCTCCTGTGACAGAGCGTGCCTCTGCCTGTTATCAGAAGGTTATTAAGTTAGTTGTCGAGCTGTCCCGTAACAGGACAAACAGTCCCTAACGGAGCCGTCTGCTCCCTGTCCCAGTGCCACGCAAGTTATTTAATCCGGGAAGAGCATGTTTGCTGCTAAGGCCTCACCCTGCCCACCGCCAGCCCTGCCCGACTGCGGCCCCACTCATGGAGGGTGGAGGTAGCTCACCCCTTCCTCGTCTTGCTGCCAGGCAGGGTCCACGCCACCCCATAGCAAACACGTCTGGGTCGCCCAGCCCCACCATCTGCCACACTGCCACCATCCCCATAAACAGAGGCAGTCATCGCAGGGCCCAGCCCGTCCTGCCCTATCAATTAGAGCAGGAACTGAGGCTGCTATCAAGAGCCAGACTGGGCCCTGCCACCCTCCCTGGCACCCGTGTCTGGCAACTGAAGCAGGGTTTGGCGATGGAGTCCCTGAGGGTGTCTCCAGCGTGGTGCTGTGGCCGAGCAGGGGCTGCTTGTGGGAGCTCTTCCCACATCCCTCTTGAGCTGTAGCATTTGTCCCAGAATTGGATATTCTCCTCGTGCCTACACTTAAGCTCTCCCTCAGACATATCTCCTTGATTGCTGTCCCCCCCTTGCTCTCACCAGGCTGTGCAGCTGCCCTGCCATGCTCCACACGCTTGCTCCAGCTCTGGGCTCTGCCCCACAGACTTAGTGGTTTGGGGCTGATCCTGGGTTTTGTGGCTGGTGACAGTGCTCCTGTTTCCTCTGCAAAGCTCATCTCCAAGGCGGACCCCGTGAGGCTGCTGGTCTTGCACATCCTTCCTGCCCGTGATGGGCCCGGGCTCCGTCAGCCTCAGCTGATGTGGGAAGGGATGAGGGTGGGCAACACCCTTCGCCCATCGCCTTCCTTTCCCGGCTGTTGTGGGTTTGCTCTCTGCCCCAGGCCGAAAGGGTGATGCCTCTGCAGGCGCTTGGGTGTTGCAAGCTCAAGATGAAGGGAGAGCCCAGGGGCACGCAGGGCACCGTTGCGGGGGAGGGAAACAGGAGGGCTCTGACGCCAGTGGCCAGATGCTGACAAGCACAGTAACGCCTGTCCACGGTGGATGTCCGACACCAGCTCTGAGCAGGGCCTCCCCCGGCACGCTCTGCCCCGCAGCCCAGGCGTGGGATGGGTTGTGCTGCTCAAAAACGCTGCAGCAGCTGTGCCTGGCCCCGGCCCAGCAAGCGGCTTTGCTCTGGCTGCAACGGCCTCGGTTTTGTGGTGTCGCGGTGGGTCACGCTCTCCAGCTTAATGCGAGGCTGCAACGGGGGCTTGTTCTTAACGTGCTGAGCACCAGAGTCAAAGTAAGTCCCTGGCAAACTTCTGGGCTGCCTTGGGGTGAAGCCAGGCTGGAGGCGAGACCTGGGAACACTTGAAAACTAGTGGTGACTGTAGGGAA